TATATGTAATACATACCCCTGTCCTAAATTACCTCCACTTGCTAATTTTGAGCTTTGTACATATCTGTTACTTGATCTTTATAGCCTGGATAGATTCCAGAAATCAGCCACCACTCACCTCTTTGATTGGTTTTGATGAGTTGATCTCTGCAAAAGATATCAAGAATTGCTATTGGAACCAAGAGTGGACAGGTGAGCAGGTAAGGTGGGCCACTTTCCATCTAGAAACACTGAACTCATTCTCTTTATGTTCACTGAGAAGGCTACTTGGTCTTTCAGGAGCTCACAGTCTGAGTTCCCTATCATGGAGCAGAGCAATAGTTTTTAACTGGGGCAGTTTTGCCCCTGCCCCCTCCCAGGGGACATCTGGCAGTGTATGGACAGTTTTGGTGGTCACAATTGTGGCAGGGACGGATATGAGGGGGATCTAGTGGGTAGAAGCCAGAATGCTGCTCAGTACCTTACAATGCTCTAGAAAGCCCTCTCCTCAAAGGATTATCAGAGCCTGAACATCAGTGTTACTGCAGTGGAGAAACCTGGCACAGAGAACACAGAAAAAGCACAAATTCTTTAATATTGGCTGGAAATTATAATTGAAATGGCAGAAAATTGGAAGTCTCAGCCTGCCTGGGAATTGATAGTTATCACTATTACAAGATACTCTTTTGATCTTTTACGTATTTATTTTTCCTTTGAGACAGGGTCTTGCTTTGTATTGCAGGGTGGCCTTGAATTCACTATGTAGTCCATGCTGGCCTTGAATTCATGGTGATCCTTCTGCCTCAGCTTCCGGAGTGCTAGGATTACAGCCATGCAACACCATGGCTGGTTTCTTTTGTCCTTTTTAGCAAAGACTCATAGAGAAGAAGTGTAGATTTAGAGCAGCTGTTTCTGCTTATGAACTATTGATAAAGATCCTTGTGTTGTTTCCTAGGTCTTATGAGAACAACCATCTCTATTCAAGAAAGACGAGGAAAAGCCAGCAATGTTTGCATACCTGTTACCATCAGGTTGAGGTCAAATCTATATTTGTTCTGTATCTTGGTTTTCTCTGTATCTATTTGCTAAAAAGTGCAAAGATCAGCTGATTGTGGTGATGCATGCTTGTCATCCCAGCTCTCTGGGAGGCGGAGGCAGTAAGATTGCAAGTTTGAGCGCAGCCTGAACATTTAGCAACTTAGCAATATCATGTCTCAAAATTTAAAAAAAAGGTTCGGAATGTATCTCAGTGCAAAGGCCCTGGGTTTAAACCCCTGTAGCACAAAAATGAAACAAAAACCCGCAAAGAGCTTTTTTTTTTGTAATATTGATGGTTTTGCCTTAAGAGGTGAAGAATGTTGATTTACAACATTGAGTCTAATATATGTTGTTGTAGGGAACCATACTTGGTGTAGTAAACTGTCCTTTTGACCAAAAACTGCAAACTGTCATGAAGATTGTTTGTACTTGCCAACCTTGGAAACAACTCCAAATGGACTCAATCTGCATTAAAGCATTTCACTGAACTCTTTTTTTTTCCCCATTAACTTTATTGGTACATTTTAGGTATATAATACAGTTACATTCATCATTGGGATTTTGTACCATTACGTGAGTCTCTTGGTTCTTATTTTTTTTCCCCTTCCCTTGCCCTCCCTTCAACCCCTCCACCCTTCCCTATTTGCAAAGATCTTGTTTGCATTTTTTTCCTCTTCTCATATTTTTTCCTTTCCCTTTTTTTCCTTCCCCTACCCCTCCCAATTCCCCTGCTCTTTTAGACGTTTTCTTCCTGTTACACAATATCAGTTATACATTTTTAAAATTACAATATTAAGATCTAGGAGACA